CACTACCTAGAATTCTAAGTTTTTTTAGCTGATACAACAACACAATTTGTCTCGAACTTCTCAATGGGAAAATATTGATGGAACGTCACTCTTTTCGACATTCCCATTGTTATCCGAAGAAGAGATAGGAGATATAACTTTAGGTAACATTTATATACAGCCAATTCCTCGTAGATGATTACCTATTCCGTAGAATTTTCATAAATAATCGAGTATCCTCATTTTCTCGAGTATATTCTGATTCCGACGCGATCGCCTTTAGTCTGTCGATCATGCTGTTATTTTGAACACTTTGTGTTCGGTGTTGCACATTTTCAATAGTTTCATTTTTTGCTATTGGTTTCTCAGTTATTGAGTAATATCCATTCATTCTATTATTCATATTTTCATTTGTGCAATACCTCTGTATGTGGCCAGTTTTGCCACATCGGAAACACCGTACTCCTTTTCTCTCTGTTTTAGTCTTTATCCAACAAAATTCCGTAGAATGATGTCTTTTTGTATGGAATATGTTGTGATAAATAAAGTTTATGTACTTTCTTTCATAATCTTCTACGTACTTTAATCAGCAGAAGTAAAAACTGACTTTTATACGTGCCTAAAAACATTAGCATTATAAATTAATAGCAAAATCATCGTCAGGTAATTACAATATTTTACCATGAGAAGTATTTTTAGCAGTAGCCATGACCGTATGATGTCATTCTTCTAAAAAGACTGTTACAGGAGCTTTCAAGTTTCTGAGAGTGCTCTACTTTGTCAATAACAAAACCACAAGGGTATTTTTTGTTTTGTGTAAGAAAATTTCTTAAAATGTTTGAACAAATAAAAATACTAAGAAAAAATTTACGTAAACGAAGATGGTAAAGAATAGAAAAAAGTCAAACAAAATTAAGCTTTTATTGTTAATTTTTCACTACCGATCTAATCAATAAAACTAAAACTGTTTAATGCATAAGATATTTAAAAACAGATACGCACACAAAATACATTTAGCAATCAATCTGTCGATTATAAACTATTAGGAATACAGATTAAAATGGCTCGTAGGCATAGACAATTTAATGTGTATTCAGAAATATCTTTAATATTTTCTAGTAGTACTGAAAACTGTTGCAGTTCTACAGAGGAAAGGCTATCAAAAGATAAATCGCTTTTGAGCCGAAACCTTATGGGCAATAGGTAACAGAGGGTACCTTTCTTTGCAAGGTTATAGAATTTACAAGAAAAGCCCTAAATTCCTTTTTCTTGCTATATCTCTGAGCTGACAATGAACATTTAGGGCTTCTCTTGTAAATTCTATAGCCTTGCAAAGAAAGGTCATGTAGAGCTGGTAGATGTCTCATTTTGATCAGAATTTCGCGGGCTACAAATACGACTTATTAAGAAAAGTTTTGGAGTTTCTGGAAAACCTGTTTTCTAGAAGACCGTTCTTTGAAGGTCTAAGAGCCCTTCTCATGTTGATATTCGGAATCAGCACCCTCTGTTACCTATTGTCCACTAGGTTTCGGCTCCAAAGCGATTTATCTTTTGATAGCCTTTCGTAAGAATTTCGCCGGCACAGCAGGAATTTCTTAACAAATAAAACATCCATTGATGCCAAAAACAAAATCATGTGTGTATATATGTTCGAAGTCACTAAACGATAATCAGTACAATGCTAGTTATAATAATAATAAAATGTAAATGAACGCTAAAGATAATGAACTGTAAAATTAAAGTTGAATGAAAATATTATTCCAAAAAGAGATCTAGAAAATCTCTAAAATTATTTTTTTTTTCGTTTACTTTTATCAGAGATAAACTGTAAGAGAATACATTTGAGCCATCAAATATAAAAGTTTCTGTTGAATTTTGTCGAGTTCAAACTGAAAAAAGGCAACTTTAAAACAAAAAACAAAAAAGTGGAGTGTCGAAAGGTGCGATATTCGAGTTTTTTTTCTACAAAATATAAACTCATCAGGTTCCGTTGTATAGCCGAACAAAATACAAACAAAACTATGAAAATATATCTGGATACCATCAAAAATAGTTCATCTAACAAAGGTTAGGTCGAAAAATACACATGCATGGATAGTCATAGTAATATGAGATATATCTCACATTCTGTAAAATGAATTAAATTTATGATCCCTGTCAAATACTGTTTTGTAAAGTAGAAGAAAAGAGAGCAAAATGAGATATTTTGTGGATGTTGTTGATGATATCTAGGTACAACAGAAAAAGAAATTTATTCACAGAAGTATTAAATATAAGAAATTTGTATATAGATGCTTTTGAGAGAGTAAGAAAATATAATGCAAAAGCACTATTGACCGGCATCCATCGCAACTTTTCTAATTTCTCAAGTTAAGTGCTAGATAAAGTAGAAAAACATTCATACTTGATAAATAGCTGCTCCAATGACGGGAACAAGAAATCCATGATAAACATATTGTATTAAATGATGACCAATTGATGGATGAGCAATCTTTAAAATATAAATAAAATTTTTAGATGTTGAAAAACGAAAATAATAGAGAGACAATTTCTATACTTGTATAATATCGTTACAAAATTGTAATGAATTCATAAAGCGGACTAATGATGCCATTTCAGATCATTCATTGTTCGTTAAATGATACCAATCATCACTATACAACGGTAGAAGATGTGGTAAATTTAAGTATAATGTACTTAATCCAGTGGCTAAGGTCTAAAATAAAACACGTTACATATGAAAATAGAATTGTTTATGTTTTGTTGAGCTTACTGGACAAAAACTTGTATTTTCCACAGTATATTTGGCAATATAATTCTTCAGCAACATAATTCTAACAATGATGTATTTTTTGTTATACTAACGCAAACCTTAAAATGAAAATATTATTTAGAAACAAATATATCTCATCTTTTATTATCTTGTAATATATCAACGCTTACTTGATTTAGTACAACGATCCTATGTTTTTCGATTAAATCAATGCATGATGATGACTCACACCATTTCAATAAATTTAACAATGGTTCAAACTTAAAATAAAATACAACAACAACAAAAGAAACAATATTATTGCATCTAATAGATAAATAAAAATGGCACTCACAATTTGTTTATGAAATAAAAGTTTATGTCTTGAACGACTTGATAAATATCCCAAAAATCGTAATTGATGATATTTTAATTCATGTACATATTCAGGACAACTTAATAACCAAATGAAAAATGTGTCAAATATTGATTCAGACACAAAATATAACAGAACGGATCTAGGACGTTCTTCTGCACAGACTTCATTGGTAAGTAATTGTACCATATATTGAAAATGATTAATAACGCATGTAGTATTATCCTGTTGGATTAACGATTTATTGAATATCGATAAAATAGAGAAGATATAAAGAATATCGAATACAAATATTCAATAAATCGTTAATCCAACAGGATAATACTACATGCGTTATTAATCATTTTCAATATATGGTGCAATTACTTACCAATGGAGTCTGTGCAGAAAAACGTCCTAGATCCTAGATCTCTGATAAAAGTAAACGAAAAAAAAAAGAATTTGTGGTAACAGGTTGACATTTTAGACCAGAAATTAATGCAGCACGACCTTAATAAATTTATATGCATTCAAAAATAAAAATAGATATAAAGATAAGGTGCCGGAAGGGCAAAAATGCAGCAG